CTCACTCTAAAATATCTAAAAACGTAATATATAATCTAACTGACACACCACTGACAATGACAACTAATTTATTTCTGGAGGTATTGTGTGTAGGTGTTTTCAGGTATGTTTTAGTATTTAGTCGTTTTACACAAAGAAATAGCCATTAAGCACTATAAAAATACTTCATAACAAATCTACACATATATACCTTTCATTTAAAAAAAGAATCATCAAGATTGGTAAAGCGCTTTCGGCGGGATGGATGCAACAAAAAAACCCTTTGAGCTTTTATATATGTATGGACTAATTATTTTTCCAACATATTTTACTTTGCAAATTTTTATAAATATTCAGACTCGCCAATATCGTACTCCACCGTGTCCAGCCTGTTTAGCCAAACGTAGGCCGATTCCTCTTCGGCGGCGTCGTGACCCTGGCCGAAGGAAGAGTCTTGAAGACGCTCATCCGCGCATAGGAATAAGTTGACTGCGTAGCGTATTGCGTATTAATCGATTCTGAAACTTTCTATCTCGTGTATAACATGTTACGCAAGTTTATTATTTTAATCTCGATTTTAATAGATAAATGTGTGAAATGCCACCTGAATATCTTCCGCCATGACATGTTTTTACTTTTTTGTTATGGTAAAGTGATTTGTATAAACTTTATTCAATAACGTATATTTTCCTCCATTTGTGATTTTTTAATTTTAAGCGAAAATTAAGTATAACATTTTAGGAAAAAGAAACACTGTAATATTTAAAAGAATAAGAAGAAATTAGTCTTATTTTGAAAGGAAAATATAGAAAAAACTCTTTCTATAGAAAAAGTCTTTATACTAACCAGAATCCGGTGACATATACGCGGTCTCACCGGAAACATTACTTATTACTTCGCATAACTTGAAGAATATCTACTTTTAATAATGAACACTTCAGAAATACACCAGTAAAAACATTTATTATTTGAGATTAAAACTCGAATTAAATTATAAATATTAGTTACCTATGTTGTTATAGCTTTTATAGGCCTGTTTAACGACTTAATAAGTTACCTAGCGAAAAAATCTGTGCGCGTACCTACCACTATTGTTACAGGTTAATTCGTTAAAGAAATATGTTACACAAGTTAAAAACGCTAAAATTTTAATGGTATTACTTGTGCATTATTGGCCTTATAATGTAATTTGTTGGAATTATATCTTCTTTAAATATAATTAGACTTTTTAACGACTTTTAAGTTACCTAGGAAAAAATCTGTGCACGTACCTACCAGTATTGTTACAGGTTAATTCGTGAAACAAATGTGTTACATATTATTCGTGGTATTAGTGGTATTATATTGGAATCAGCTTGGCATTAGTGGGGCATTATATGAGAAATTTGGTATTTAATTTGTATTTTTGGCATTACTTTGGCATTAGTATACAGACATTTGTCAGCGGTTTACTCCTTGTAGATAATCAAAAAGTTTTTTGATAAAATTTGCTTTTCATGTCAGATCATTTCTATGAAAAATTACATTAGATTTTTATTAAAGACGCTGGGTAATTAAAACATTGACTAATAAACCTTGTCCACTTTAAATACGGGGTCACGAAATATCCTCCTTGGAGTGTTTGGGTTAAGGGGTGTATAATAAATTAATCGTTGTTTTATAATAAAAACCATAAAACATTTATTTGTGAGTAAAATAATGCAATGGTTGGATATCTCTCCTTTATAATTCGGTGACTAAAAATACACTAAAATAATTAGAAAAAAAATCTTGTACTTATTTAGTAATTACGTCAATATTAATTAATTGACTTTCTAGTCTATTTTATTTTATGTACAAATATATTATTAAATTTTAAGCATTAAGTAATAAAACACTTTGTGCCCTCTTATATCGTAAAAGGTTACGAAATATACTCCTGGTTACACCCCTTACAGAAAACAGTGTAAGGGGTGTAAATAAATTGTATAATCACTGTTTTTTATAATAAAAACTATAAAATATTTCTTATTTGTGAGATTAAAAAAACAAAACAATGCATTGGTTAAAATAAGTACATTCAATACTGTTTTCAATTGTTAATTCAATAATGTGTTATAACATAATATAGCCATTACTATTATACTATTATTATTAAAATAATATGTGTGTAACATATTTCTTTAACGAATTAACCTGTAACAGACATTTATATGCCCAGTATATTTTTGTTTAACAAACCAATCAGGAAAAATCCAAAACCTACCGTTATAGGAGGTATAAGACGATTAAACTTATATAATGACAACTACTTATCGGATAACAAATTAATTACTACTGTCAGCTAGTTCAGCTACTGTCTAGGTAGAATTTACCTAGAGTACCTACACCTACCTATGATGATGTAGGTAGATTAAAGCTTATTTTGACGTTACCTCTCACTTCGGTGTCACAAGCTGAATTTTTCAGGGATGGAAGTACAGTACATCACAGTACATGATATGGGGACCCTTATTCCGAAAGTAGTACAAAATTAAACAGGGTAAAAAGGCACTATCATCAAAAATCGATATATTAATACCACCGTATAGAGAAAACAAATACTTATTTTTTGATCCAGTACAGAATAAAGTCTTCGTAGGGAGTAATTTTTTATAATTATTTACAAAAAAACATTTCCATTAGCGCTTATGACCAAAAAAAAACTTTAAACATGAATAATCATTTCAATCATGCGAAAATTTGGTTTAAAAATAGAGATTTTTTTTTAATATAACTTTCATTTAACGAAAAACGAAGGCCTAAATGAAAAAAAGAAACAATTTAAAAGTTTCGCTCATGTCTTGACAAGGTATCAAAGCAAACCCCATATTTTTTGCTTTTAAACTAATAAAGATATATCAATAAACAATTAGCGATGTAATGGTTTTTGCGCGCGCTGGCCGACTGCCGCCGCTGCGCCGAGATTTCCTATACCCTTGTATATATGTCGTCATGGTGTGGCAAATGTAGCATTTTAATTCGATTTGGGCTCCCTTATATAGGATAACAGAAACATTTTCAATGTTAAAAACAGAAACAAATTGACATGAACTCATGCGAACATGGCAAATATAAAACTATAAAAACTATATGAACTAAAAAAATATAAGTATATAACGAGAAACATCACTTTTGTTCAAAGTAAGACTAAGTGCCACGAGGGCATTTAAGGATTTATCATCTAATCTTGAACGAAAGTTACTACAAAATCCACCGGCAAATAAAAAAGCTCTCTCCGATTGGACGCTGGTGGTGGAACGGTCAGTAAATGCTCGTAACATAGCTGCAAATATTGTCCTCGACAACCGCCATCCTCAAAAAAGACTCTCGTTTTATAACTTTTGATAATCGATCTGGCTTTGCAGCTAATGACGTTTGTATGCTTGCTCTTGTACTTGTTGAGGCAGTAGCAGATATTGCACTTTCAATAAATCCGTCTAAACCTTTTTGCCAATGGAACTTTCTCAACCTGTTACTATTTCTGTTTCTTATCTCGGTCAGCGAAATTTCGTCTTCATCTGAAACAGCTTCTTGCTCTTGCACTTTGGATTGTGATAATCTTTGCACCAGTTTGTCAATGAACTTTAAGATTTCTTTGGTATCTGGCTTAGACTAATTAAAATGTAAAGGATTGCTTAAACTTTCTATATATTTTAGTGTGGATTACAGAGATAACTAAGCACATTGGAGGCAAGGGTTCTTCGCTCGTTTATTTGTTGCTTCAATGCTTCCTGTAAGTTTTGGCTTAAAGGCGCATTGATTTTTGGAAGTTCTTAGAATATAAACTTAAAGCTGGCATCAGCAGTGTAGAGATTTGCTTCATACTTACATAGTGTGTCACAGCTAGCCTTATAGGTTCTAGGCACTTAACAATTCCGTCCAGAATTTCAAAATCGTAGTCACTGAGATTTACTGATATGGAGAGATCAATCATGGCCTTTTGTATGCAATCTTTTAGAAGAATAAACCATTCTAGCATTCCATCAAGGCTATTCCAACGGGGTTTACAATCTAAAATAAGATTTAATTCTCGGTTGTATTTTCCGTGCACGTATTTTTCTAAAACAGTGTTTTTCAATGGAGAGCGTCGAAATAACTTTACGATTTTTCGGACTTTGTTGACTAATTCGTTTATGTTGTAGCTGTCAGTTAGGTCGTAAATGATCTCTTCATCCACAGTTTCATCGTCGTCGTCGCTATAATTATCATCACTTGACAGGTCTTCAATGATTTTCTGATGGTTTCTTTTACAATACATTACTTCAACAACTGCAAGGTATAATAGTTTAGCGGTTTCGGGACCAAGTTGAGGTCCCGGGACCATCATTGAGTTCCGGGACCACTTTTTTTATGTTAAGTCCCGGGACCGTCCCGGGACCAAGCCCCGGGACTTGATACCCTAGTACTGAAGTTCTCTGATGAATTTTATACGTATTTTTGCCCTTGTGAGTCTTTTTATGTTAAACAGACCGCCGCCATACTTGTATCTAACACTCATTTCTTTTTCCTGCAGTTATGTATATTATTTAAAAAACAGTAAAGAGAAAATATGTTTCTTTTATAGAGATTTACTAGCCATGTGAAAATGGTTGTCTTCCTTGTATATGTTTCTAAAAGTAAAAATGCTTTGATTTGTTCACTTGTTTTGCTTCATAAAAAATATAAATATGTGTTTTCATAAAAAGTACGTTTTCCAATTTTTGGCTTCTTTGAAAATATTCCCTAATTAACCGCAATTTTTTTGAAAAAAAGCTGGGTATTTTTAAAGCTATTAAAAATATCCAGCTTTCTAAAGAGATATTTTATCAACCTACGTATGTGAATATTTTTTTAATTATTTATAGTACTGAATTTTCATATGTTGGGGATTATTTTTATTTTTAAGCAAATACTTACTTTCCTGTCAAATAATGGACACTTAAATATTACATTGTGTTCGTGAACGTAAATTTTTTCAAAGTAAACAAGTTTTGAGGAATTCTATTTTAATTCAATTTTAGATTCTCGTTTTCTATTGCGCTTCTTGAGATTCAAGAAATTCAGCGTTGTGCAAGCCCAAGAAGCACTGGAAAGATACGTCTTGCTCCGGCAAACTTTTGGTGTTGCCTTCAATTGCCTGGACATGACTATTCCGATGATGCAAGACCTCACCGATTTGGGTTATATGTTCGCCTGTCCTAAAAGGGACAGCCAAGGACGTAGGGTAATTGTAACCCGCCCTGGTAAGAATAAGTAGCCATTATTAGTTTTAATTTAATTATTTAATTGGATTAGATACCGTGGGGTTATGTAAATGTTTGGAAATTTCTATTATAGTCATAATAAAACATCTACTATTAGTGCCGTATCTGTACTGATCTTGAAGAAGATTATAAAGTTAAGTGCTAATATGCGATCAGTATTTTTGTGTGATCTTAGTAATTTTTGTGTTAAATCTATATTTTTTGGCGATTTCTATTTTGTGTGTACCTATAATATCTTATGGTTAGAGTATTTATTGGCTAGGTTATACAGGGTGTCTTAGGCTGAGCGTGCATTAGAAGTTTCTAGAGAACTACAATATCTAGATCAAAGATTTTTTGCACTTCATTGTTTTACAACGTGATCTATCTGTTTTTTATCAGTTGACAACAGCTTTCTTATTTTAAATGAGTGCCACCGTTTTTTATTACATAATTAAATTCTCTCTGTAAAATTTTATGAATTTTGATATTAAACACTCTATATATCTAACATTAACCTTTTTGAGAAAAGAAATATTTAAAATTTTTGGACGAAAAAAATTGTCTGTCAAAAAAAATTGTATAGCCTAAAAGTCAAATTTAGTGATTACCACAGCCACTGTGACAGAAAGAGAAGACATGTGACTATCTATTTCAAAAATTCAATTGTTTGAATGTTATAGTTTAATAATGGCGGTAGCCGTCATAAATCATTTTTTTCCTTTGAATAATAAGACTAAGGAAGGAGCATAATGCTATTCATGTATTCATGCATGGTGGGCGGAAAAGGCACCATAAAAGCTCTCTAGAGTGGGGATCCTGACAGTTCTGTTTGACGATTCATTTGACACATTTGAATTTGATTTGAAATTTTGTGGATTTGTCAGTCTTTATGGAGCTTATTTTATGTTATTTATTATTTATTCTACTACTGATAGTTGTTTAAAGGTAGTAAACCTAGATGGAAATTGTGGCAGAACTTAAATTAACAGTGACACTACCGCGATTTATCGAAAAAGACTCCAAAATAGTTGGTTGTGTAGCGTGCGGTAGATCTCGGCAAAAATCGGGTGAAAAAATGGAACAACTTTTCGCTAGTAAGTGACTATATAATATACATACGTGTAGTTACCGTTCATTTATGAAATTCACTTAAATTAACTAATTATATATTTTTTCTTGCATTTTAGCTTTTATTTATTACTTGTCAAAGATTAGATGTCATAGAATTTAGATACGTTAATTTGACTTACCTGCTTCAGTAGCGTATCGGATGTTTGTGTTAATAAATACTTATTATAACTTATCTATTTTTATTAGAATTATATATTTTTTATAACAATTTTAAAACTACCAACATTTATTCACAACGTAAAATAAAACAACAAATTATTGAGTCTACCCCACGTCTACCCTACATCATAGTTTTACATTTTTTAAATAAAATTAGAACGACACTGATAAACCGGAATTTAAGTCGGCCATATTTGAGGCCCATCGCGGTGTACCTAAGATTTTTGATATGCTCCTTCCTTAGTCTTCTTATTCAAAGTTTTTTTCAAATGGAACCCCCCTTTTTTTATTTCACTAGTGAAGATGTTTTTAATTCGTTACTCTTTGACTATACATGTTCCTATACCTAAAATAAATCGTTTTTAAGTTATTTAAGATTTAGTTTTAAAACGTATATTTTTATTGATTATATCTAGCTTCCTTTGACATTAAGTGTCAAACAATCAGACAATTTATTTCTATCTGTCAGAAAACTAATTATTTGAATTTTCTATAATATAAATACTGCCATTTATAAAAATATATCTTCTATTTTCGCTCTTTGGTGAAATCTAATAGTTGTGTTAATAATATACCGTATGATCGACAAAAACGGTGGAAAGTTGGCTTGGAAAGATGATCGATGACATACTGCTTTCTGAACAAAGTGTCACAATATGACATGACCAGATCTATTGTTTTACATCACTTGATGTTTAAAGTCATACTGGTTAAAATCAAGAAAAATGTACGCTTTAAAACTAAATCTTAAATAACTTACTATTTATTTTGGATATAGAAACATGTATAATCAAAAAGTAATGAATTGAAAAACCTTTTCACTAGCGAAATAAAAAAGTGGGTTTTCATTTGAAAAAAAAATATTTGTAACAATTTCTTTATCGCTCAATTCCATGACAACTGAGGCCATTATTATATGACATTCGAAAAATTTAATTTATAAAATAGATAGCCACTTGTCTTCTCTTTGTGTCACACAGGGCCGGCGGAAGGAAAATGTTGAGACCGGGCGAGTACCCTATCTGGCGCCCCCACCCATATTTATTATAGTTTCTTTCAGTACTATACTTTAACTACAACTAAGCATATTTATGCTACTTTAACAATAAATTTTTACTTAAAGATACTTCAAAATTCTTCTCTTCGTTTAATTTTAGTCTGCAGTTGTCGTTTTTTTCTATACCGAGAGCGCCTCGAAAGTGACTTACCCCTATTACTTTTTCATTTTTTTAGATAAAAAATCCGAGATTTGGTATGTTAGTATATGATATAAATTAGGACTTTTGACATTTTTGCTTAAAAAAATATATATTATAGTTTAAATTCCAATCAGGAGTACCATGACTCTGTTAAAAAGTCTTGGAAAAATAAATTTGATCGTCTAATGTTTTTCGTGTCTTGTCCTGGCCGGTTAAAAGATGTCCTAATCGTATTTTTAACCATATCTCAATTTTTTCAAATGGAACAAGGGTGGAGGCTCATTAGCATAATTGGAAAAAGAATATATCACAATTTTACGAATAATTTGGTACCACACACTTGGTATTTCGAGTCAAATATGAACCGCATGTTACAATTTCAAATAAACTAGATGCGAAAATGTAAAAATTGACATATGTTATAAAGTAGAAATATACCGGGGGTGCCATTTAAAAATAAAAAGTTGTAGTAATTTCCGGTGAAACACTGTGACCAAAAACAATAGAATACGTCAATTAATCCTAATTTATATCGTATAGTAACATACCAAATCTCGTTTATTTATTTCAAAAAATAAACAAGTTATAGGGGTGACCAACTTTTGAGAAGCACCCGGTATATCGAGTTATAAGAAATAGAATTCCAACTTCGGCAGTCTCGTTCTGGTATAAGTAATCTTTGAAACCATTACTATTTAGTTGCAAGCAGTTGCTTTATTTCTCTATAAGAATTTAAGAAACTTTTCATTTCACAATTATTTCGTGCAGAATCACTAGTAGGTACTACTATCAATAGTAGGTATATGATCTGATACAGTTTTTCGGCTTCAAAATGAGGTTCAGCCACACTGGTCCTTTATCTTGCTGAAATGAGAAAATTCTACGATTCTATTACCATTTTCCGTGTATTACTACATATTCAATCCGGAACAATAAAAACCACCAAAAGATTGATATCTTTTCCCACTACTGTTAATAAATTAATTTAATTAATGAGGCAAACTTATAAGCTTTTTTTATAATAAGGATATCAGGATCCCCTTCAGCTTCTTGCGAATAAATTTTAGCCTCATATAATTTTAACGCATATCAGCCATTAATAACAAATAAAGGGCGTGGGTAGTAGAAAAAGTGCGATTTTGAGCAGTCATAGTCTAATACTGTCAGTTTTGCTGGCTTGACCCAATCCAATTTGTATAGAAAAAAAATCTATAACAAGAATTATAGAAAGAAGGGTTATTTACAAAAAGTTGATAGCTTGTGAGTTATAAGTAAAATACCACGAAGAAGTCATTTTGATTTATATTTTTTAATTTTATTTTGTTTAAGAATTCGCAAATCCCAATTTCAAATAGAGCACCCAAAAAACATCTAAAATTGAAGAAATCAAAACTCTCCCAAAACTTTCGTGCTAAAGAGTTTTTGAGCATAGTTTCAGTAAACTATAATAGGTATTCAGTAAACTTAGATAGGTCTAGGATATAGTAGTGTTTATAATGTTTAGTCAGATATTTTCCCTATGTTGTGTAGTAACTGCTGATATTTTAATGTGAAAATTGATAGTATCGATTAATTATTGATCTGGTTATTCGTTACTATTTGTTTAGATTACTGTTTTCAAATGTTTTAGTTGCTGTCGCGGCGCCCCTAGCACAGGGCGCCCCGGGTCGCCCCGCCCTGTTGTCACAGTGGCTTTTGCAATCACTAAATTTGACGTTTAGGCTATACATATTTTTTTTTGACGGGCAGTTTTTTTTTGTTCAAAAATTTTAAATATTTTTTTCTCAAAAACGGTTAATGTTAGGTTTAGAGGGTTTAATATCAAAATTCATAAAATTTTACAGAGAATTTAGTTATGTAATAAAAAATAAGGGCACCCATTTAGAATAAGAAAGTTGCTGTCAACTTCAGGTATTTCCAGAAGTGCCGCCATATTGAAAATAATTTTAATCGATAGGTCTCGTTGTGAAATAATGATGTGCTAAAAATCTCCTATCTAGATATTGTAGTTATCTAGAAACTTCTAATGCGCGCTCAGCCTGGGACACCCTGTAGACTAACTCGATAGATACAAACATCTTATTTAAATCAATACCAATTGCTTGTCAAAACGTCATATGTCAATTTTATTTCCTCTTCGTATACAATATGTTTCAATGAGCTTATTACTAAGATAATCAAGAATATATGTTCTAGGCGTTTTTGATTTGGAGAAATTTACAAATGCCGACATGTGCCGCATCCATGGAATAGTGTATGAAACTCTAATGGAAGACGAGGAGAACCAAGTACGAGGCTTTGTCCATTTTGCAGATGGAAGTGGAGTAGGATTTGCTTATTTGACGTTGTTTACTATCAGAGAAGCTGTTCGTATAGTTAAAAATGGCGAGGTATTGCAATAAATTTATTATGATAATGGTTGTAAGTTGATCGGTGGAGGAATGTTATGATGTTAGTGCTACCGTTTTGAGAAGTGTCAGAAGGTTCAAATTACATAATCAAAATACAGGGTGTTTCAAAAAACAAATGTCATCTCTCGTGAAGAGATTCCTCACGTAAAAATATTTCACGTCGGCTTTATGACGAAAAGGCGTTTGCTGATGGTTGCTTGGGACAAAATAAAAATTCTATCATGGTAGCTCTCTTTTACAGTGTGCTTTTACAGAAAATTGTTCGAGAACACATGGAAGAAGGAAAATTGCCCGAAATCATAGTTTCTCTAAGAACATTTTAGCGAACCAGAAAGTTTTCCGAAAAATACAATCATTGTCAGCTCATTATCATTGTCAGGCCATTGTCATTGTCATTCCTGCCAATTTCTGGAAAATTATATTTATTGTGCCTGTCATCATCCGGCATAAACATGTACAATGGAAGTCGAATTTGTAACCAGTGAACAGGGAAACAGAAACTGTTACTCCACAGCTATTTGTATCAAAAAGGCATGGGTGAAGAAATATGTCTTGTTTTCGTTTAGTTTTTTGGTTTTTATTAAATGGAATTAAAATGGAATGGTGTTTAAATATCCTGAATTAGAGCAATCTTTTACCAAAAATTGACATCTTGGGAAATGCTTATTTCTGTCAATTGAAATTCCATGATTTTTCTTTTCGGGCAACTATCTTTTTGGTTAATTTTCTTTTCGATCAATTGTTTTCGGGCAATTTTACTATATCCGTTGTACTGCTCATGCAATAAAAAAACAGGCGAATTATTTGTGTTCAATTAGTTGTGACCGGTAATTCATGAAAACTATAGAACAGTAACCCTAAAACGATAACTAATTTTTTCAACATCACATTCTAAACTAAACTCAGGGCCAAAACCTATAATATTACGAGAATATCAAGACCTACAACCCCTTTGCACTGGTGACAAACCTGACATTAAATCACCAGAAGATGTTTTATTTTTAAATAATTACTAAAAATATATTAGTACTTAAAAAAATATTTTCGTATAAAAACAATATTATTAAATTAAGCTAGATAAGTTTATTTTCATTTATTATTGTTTTTGCTTCTAGAATAAACATTGTCTTGTTTACAGTTGATTTAATCCAACGCGAATAAAATTATCTACAACTTAACAAGTATAGCTAGAGGCTACTAGTAACATAGCAAGTTGCCGGACGAATATACGTTTACCTATTTGCGTTTGTACCAAGATTCACTGCCTATATTTGGCTACAACGGTACATATACCGCAGTTGCAGTTGTGCTTGGACGGGTCAGTCGTGACAGACTAGAAATACGACGCGAGGAGTGCCGAGTATTTACTATTTTCATTTTAGTGAAATGTGACCGAAAGTAAAATCACGATCGCAAACCGCTTATTTTTTAAAAGATAATATTTAGAATAAATATACATAGATATTTATGATTTGAGTGTAATGTTTCTGAGCAAGCCAAAACTAAAATAAATAAATTCTTTTAACCCCAAAAAAACTAAAATATTACTCTAATTTAAAAACTTAACTTATAACACATAACAGTTCATAACTCAAGAACCATCTTCTTGATGCTGAAACTTTTTTTTATTTTCAAGATCGGATATTTGACATTGGCTAACACATTAGAGCTAATCAGTTTGGAAAGCCTCTCGTATTTTTCCTTGAAGCTCATCCAGATTATTAACCCTATCCATGACCATACACTTTAGATTTTACATATTTTCAGCAATCGTGAAATCATTTTATTGAAAAGATTTTCACATTCTGTCTACCAAAAATAGTTCCATTTCCAATAATTAACAAAGTTCTTGACAAAAAATTGTTCAAATATTCTTGAACAATACGGGCATTGCAACCACCTCAGCAATTTGATTACTTGAAAACGTGTACATTAATCAACACATCAGGCTTTTTGTGTTTTTGTGGGGACACGCACCCATGTGTTTCAAAATTATTAATAACTCTTGATATAGTAGGTAAAATTGGAATTGGCCTCGTTTAATAAATACACAAAAATTGTTTGTCACGATACGTAATTATTTCGTAAATGACCATTTGACGTACAATTTTCTCACCAACTTTAAGTAAACATCCAGCTGCAGAGGTATAAATTAAATTACCGGAGAACTGTCGCGAGAATCTATGTATTCGTTTCCACGTTAAAACACGAATAAATACAAATTCTGAAACATATCTACCTATTTTTATTATATCGCATTTTTTCGCCTGCTTTTTATCCGGCGGACGGGTATAGGTTAATTCGTCCGGTTCTGCCTATGTTACTACTACGGTGGTCCGGTCTGTATATAAAATGCTAATGTTTATCTGTGTCGTCTCTACTGAAGTAACGACTTGCTCTACAAAGTTGCTTTTTTTACTAAAAGATAGCTAATTGGCTCTTCTAAAAACTGTCGTCGCCGGATTTTTTGTTTTTCATTTAATTAAAAAAAAGTATTTTTTTTTCCTGATGTCGTGGCGTATGCGCCAGACTTCAACTAGTTTAAAAATATTATAATATACTATAAGTGCGACATATTTTAATGCTCAAAAAGAGTCGACATATTCTCCAGAGACGAGCATCTGGGTTATAACTGAAATATATTTCTAAAAAAACATATGTTGATATAATGATACAGGGTGGCCCATCGAAAACGTTCCGCAAGGCATAACGGCCAGGGTAATTTTTTTTTTCAGAAAATTCAAAAACACGTCAATTTTGTTTGTGAGGGGGACAACTTTTGCCCCAAAAATTATTGCAAAATCTTCAACCCTCTAAGCAGGGGTGTCATCCCCCGATTTTTTCAAATGGGAAGGGGGGTCAAGTGGTACCGCAGTGAAAAGGGTTTTCTATTCTCTATACTTTCCTGCTTCGTTTTTGAAGATCGGTCGAGTCGTTGAGAAAATATGAAGGATTGAAATTTGAAAAGTTTATTTAAACATTTATGAGATTAAATAATAAGGATAAGTTCCTTCGACCAATTTGCTGTTTTTTCTTATTATTTCTAGATGTTTACGCAATTTTTCAATTGCCACAAGGATGAACGATCGGGTTAGGTAGAGTGTACTGTCTTTTTGAAAGGTGTAGTTAATCGGTACAACTGTCGGTACTGGGCTGAGGACAACCCCAGGGTTTTTCACGAGGTGCACAAACAAAACCCTAAGAAATTGAACGTGTGGGCTGGTATTTTTAGAAATTCTATTGTGAGTCCTTTTTTTCTTCCTGGAAATCTAACAGGTGATATGTACTTGGATTTACTGAAAATACCATCGACCCAGCCCTAACTGACATCATAGAGAACAATCCTGGATACGTTAAAGCGGAACTAATATTTTAACAAGACGGTGCACGTCCACATTACTCTCAAAATGTGCGTAATTATTTAAACAATAACTTTCCCGTTCGGTGGATAGGACGAACGGGTGCAATTGAGTGGCCTCCCCGGTCACCCGACTTGACTCCTTTAAACTTTTTTCTATGGGGACACATAAAAAGTAAAGTGTATAGCACTCCACCCGCCTCATTAGAAGACCTGCGAAGACGAATTATTGATGTTTGTTGCGAAGTGACTCCGCAAGTTCTTCAGAATGTTCTAGAACGGGTTGAAAATAATTTGTATTACTCTATGGAGGTTGACGGGCAACATTTTCAGCATTTTCTTCATTAATAAGATGCGATCTTTCATATTTTCAAAATGACTCGACCGATTTTTAAAAACGAAGCGGAGAAATATAGAGAATAGAAAGCCCTTTTCATTGCGACGCCACTTGACCCCCCTTCCCATTTGAAAAAAGTTGGGGGATGACACCCCCGCTTAGAAGGTTGAAGATTTTGCAATCATTTTTGGGGCGAAAGTTGTCCACCTTACAAACAAAATTGACGTGTTTTTGGATTTTTCGAAAAAAAAAACTTTGGCTGTTATGCCTTGCGGAACGTTTTCGATGGGCCCCTGTATATAAAATGCTAATATTTATCTGTGTCGTCTCTACTGAAGTAACGACTTGTTCTAGAAAGTTGCTTTTTTTACTAAAAGATAGCTAATTGGCTCTTCTAAAAACTGTCGTCGCCGGATTTTTTGTTTTTCATTTAATTAAAAAAAAGTATTTTTTTCCTGATGTCGTGGCGTATGCGCCAGGCTTCAACTACTTCAAAAATATTATAATATACTATAAGTGCGACATATTTTAATGCTAAAAAAGAGACGAGCATCTGGGTTATAACTGAAATATATTTCTAAAAAAACATATGTTGATATAATGATATACAAAATAACTTTTAATTTTAAGTGAGGCATTTTCCCACGAGAGATGGCCCATTTTTTTTGAAACACCCTCTATATCTTTAAAGTCATCTGTAAGTTGGTGTGCTGCATTTGAGTTATATTAAAAAAAGTTAAAATTAAAGACGCACTTGCCTGTTAAAATTGCATTTTCAAGTTGAAACTGCTGGATATTGCAGCTTCATTTATCATAATGATTAAATTCTATTAAACTAATTTTGGTGCTTTGTATTTTCTGTTTTAAGAAAACCCTTCCCATGAGACACAAGGAAATTCATGGCTTCAACGTGCATCCCTCCATGAAGTTTGTCCTAGACTGGGGTATGACTTTGATTTCTGAGAAAATCAAAACAAGAGTAAGACTGTACAACAACGTAGAAGAAGCTCTGGAAGCTGGATACGTTGAAAAGGATATTTTGCCTAAAGAATATGGCGGTACAATGCCCATGTCTGAAATGATACGTAAGAAATATTTTATTTTATGTTTTAATATCCGTTAGTTAAAATATTGGTAAATTTTTTGAAAGTTTCCTTGCACTTGATTGGTAATGTTAATGAACGCAGAATATAATCAACAGAGACAGAACTAACCGAGCATATTTATAAAACAAATTAAGAATTTGATGAAAATCTGTCGAGCCGTTTCGGGAGGAGTGATATAATTCTACAGTTTTATATCCAAAATACATTTTTGCTGACACTGTGTGAGGTCTAATATGTGTTAGTGATGATCATTACCATTCTTTTTAGTGAATCGAATCCTTTGATTCAATTTCTCATATTGAATCGACTCTTACGATTCTTTCATTTGAACAAACCACATATAAAATTTACGTTTCATAAAATTAAAAATCGTAACTGGCACTATCGGCGATAATTTGATCGGACAATTATTTAAGGGACCAGAAAAAGAAATATACAGTTCCTTCTTTTGTTTTCAACACTTTATGGCACTGGCGTAATTGGAGTGATTATTTAACAATAATATTAAGTTATCAATCCGAGTGATCCGATTCAATTCTTACGAATCTTTTTTCCGGCTTATCGTTCAAATTTTAGGAATCCGTGCTGGCCACGATTCAATTGAACGAATCGTATTGTAAGCAATGAATCAATTCCCACGACTCTTTGAACGAACGATCCGTAGAAACGAACGATAGCATTGTGATCCGATTCAATTCTCACGACTCTTTTTAACTCTTTCGTTAAAATTTTATGGATCCGTGAGTAGATTCTTTCGTTTAATAAGACTGATGAGTCAAGTCCTACAGCTGTTTTTAAAGGTTCTGCATAATCGAATCCGAAGAAAATGTGAGCTAGACATAAGTGAACAGCAAATGGGATTTCGCGAGGGACTGGAGACGAGAGAAGCCCTGTTTGCGCTATCGGTGCTTTTGCAGAAGTGCAGAGATCAACGAAAGGAGGTACACCTGTGCTTCATAGACTACACAAAGGCATTCGACTGCGTCAACCACGGGGAATTGCTGAGCATCCTTGAAAGAAAAGGCCTGGATACCCAAGACCTGAAAATTATCCAAAAGCTATACGAGCAACAAGTAGCGACAGTAAAACTACAGGACACTGAAACAACAGCAATACCTATCAAGCGTGGAGTTAGGCAAGGATGCGTATTGAGCCCTATGCTCCTCAATATGTACTCCGAACTAATATTTCGAAATGCGCTTGAAAGTATTCTTCTTATTGTATTCAAAATGCACAGAAGACGGCATAAAAGTGAATGGCAGGCTGATTAACAACATGAGATATTCTGATGATACCGTCGTTATTGCAGACACCACTGAGGGCCTGCAAAGACTTCTTGATAGACTGTCCTCGGGTCTCAGGATAAATACAAGCAAAACAAAAGTCATGGTGATAAATAGAGATGCAAGACAGGCAACGGAGGTAGTCGTAGGTTGGACACAAATAGCAAGAGTCTCAAAGTTTAGATATTTGGGCAGTTGGATTAGTGAAGACCTAAACCCAGACATTGAGATCAGAGCTCGAATTGAGATGGCTAGATCAAACTTCCTAAAATTGCGGAACCTATTGTGCGATAAACGTCTCAACATCCATATAAAAGATAACTTCGTCAAGTGCTACGTACTTTCCACACTTCTCTACGGGGTTGAGTCGTGGACACTCAAAGTAAGCGCAATGAATAAGTTGGAAATATCGCAGAATGCTGAGAATACCATGGACTGACCGTGTCTCGAATGAACGAGTTCTAAACCAAATGAACAAGGACCGAGAACTCCTCGACATAATAAAAAAGAGGAAAGCAGCCTATTTGGGCCATATCATGAGACATAGCAAGTATGAATTCCTTCAGCTCATCATCGAGGGAAAGCGCGGACTCGGACGACGGCAATGCTCCTGGCTGAAGAACATTAGAGATTGGACAGGCCTGGACTCACATACTTTGCTGAGAAGAGCGAAAAATAGAGAGTAATTTGCTATGGTTGTTGCCGATCTTCACTGAATGGAGAAGGCACTTTAAGAAGAAGAAGTGGATAGATAACCAAACAATTCGATGTGTATGTATGGATGGCTGCATTATGTGTATATATCGTGACAATGATAATAATCTGTGGTTGTAGTTTCTGTTTATAGCAATGACTAAAGAATACAAGGACAAATAGCAACCGTGGCACATATTTTTCTTAACATAGCCGCTTGAAGCGATATTTATATTTTTGGTAAATGTTTTCACTACGTCTCTGGTGTGTCCTGTGGTATCATACTAATTAATTACGAAAAAAACGTATTAAAACGTTAACAAAAGGTACAAATCTAATATCGACGTATAGCACAAATCAAGTACATATAATATCAGAAAAATAATTATCGAATTCAATAAAAAAAAGTTAAAAAGGTGTAGTGTACTGTTTATTTCCCTATGAAACGTAACTCCTGGATCTTTCTTATCATTGCGCCTTTTACACTTGAAAGCTGAACAAATTACCATTGTAATAAAGTTTGTACAAAGTTCACTACACACAACCAACTATTAAAAATCGCTAAAATTGATGACCAGCTGATGATTCATTCGTTATGTCCAAAAATATGGCGTCTAAAGGTCACAAATTTTGCTGCAGCCCGTATATGGCCCTTACATGTCCTTATATTCTTTAGTCCTTGGTTTATAGTGTGTCTGCCGTTTTTCAATAAAAGTTTACTCCTGGTTTATTTTCAAGTCGAGTCTCTGAACAATAATACAGCACCGTGCTGACGATTCAATTGAAAGAACCGTATTCTAAGCAGTGAATCGAATGCCACGATTCATTTTTAATACTCGTTCAAATGAAGACTTGCCTACCTCTCATACGTGCTTTTTCTAATTTTTCCATTTTATTGCAAACCGCATGACCTGAACTTGGGTCTCTTATTAAGGGACTTTTTTGATACACACAAATCCTTTTTGGACTTTTTTGATAAAATTTAAATTGCTTTTTTTATTATTGAATATAAACTTTAGTCTTGAGTCAGAGATGAATTGTTGTAGCATCAAATATTTTATAATCCATGACATTATCGGTAAATGTTTTATACAATTTTTGTTCTACCTACTATTTCTACTATTTCTAAATTACTAATTGAAGTTGGAACTTTCAAAATCCAGCACGACAATATAGACAATACCAATATTGTAACATTACTACATGCAGTCCGACGTCCGACTTGTCTAGTCTCACAATATAACATTAAAGTAAGTTTCGTATTTGTATGTTATTAAAGTTAGACTGTTAGCAGAAATTAATTACAAACAAAATCAGATCCATTCTGAAGCTCAAGCCACAATTACCACGATTTTGACTGAGGGAGTAAATTAATTCAAACCATAAACATATCGTTCCGATGTAATGAAGAGGTAGAATTTGAATTATGTAAATATACTTGTATTAGGTATCTGATGTCGTTCATAACTAAGCTAAACGCTAATTTGGGCAAATAGAGGGTTACATTTAATCAGCATTAAATATTGCAAATTAATAAATGACTGGTTTGCTTATTACAAAGTTCGAGATTTTTAATATAATTTGTAAGTAAAAGTTATTATAACAGTTTATTTATAATGATTACAAAAAAAGAAAATATTGTAATAATCACGGTAATAATCAAGTGTATTGTAAATAATATTGTTACTTTGCGGATCTTTCTTAGCTCTTCCGGATATTTGTTAGCTTAGCAATAGACTTAGCTCTTCGATTGTAATGGCCGTTTCCTTATCTCTAGCCAGCACAAATCAAAAGTCTGCGTTACGTTTGAACTCTCTTTTGAACTTTCCTTGGTAGTTAATGAATTCCTGTGGCTGGTAGTTTAAGTAGCACACCCCCAGCAGTCAACCAACCCAAACCTATTTATTCTTTAAACTGTTGACTTATTCGGTATAGTACATTTCAGTTGATTTCAACAAATTCCGACCGCAGCGCTTCAACGGCAAAAACTTGAAATTATCAATATATATTTCACGCCGCCGCGCGCCGGCGCATGTGGATGCGGCGATCATGTTGATCGCATTAAAATAATATTGAAATCGTGACTTTGTCATAATATTTAAGTACTTTAATTTTCTGCTAATGGCAGTTAATGAGGCTATAAAACACACAGGTAAGAGGTTTGTGTGATGTAACGCTGTTTCGGGTAGTAAAAAATAAGTGAAAAAGAATTCGAACTAGGCGTCGCACAGTGTAACGAAATCGGGAAATGTGGGACATTAGCCCATAAAACAAAAAATTAATTCATCAAGTTTTTTATATAGATGGATAAAGGACATCCCAGAGCCCCACCATGTGAGATATTTCTTGAGTTGACCTCTTAGTCGGGGAGTTATGGCGGGTTAAAGTTATGGTTTCCTTAATTTATCAAATCTGTATAAAAATTTCATACAATAAAATTTATTATTTTCAGAAGTTTCCTTGTGTTGTTCAATTCCAACAATTTTTTCCGTAAAGAGAGGTCTTTTACCAACAACAAACCCGAAAAAAACGTCCCAATTTTTTTCAAGTCTAGTTTCTACATGTTTATTATGACTTTCAAAAAAACGCTTACATTCGCGCATGGTTATATATACAAAATATCATAGAGTGAACCTTTTAGTATACTGTTACATATAAATTTCATCCACCTAGATCCGAACCTGGAAGAAAAAAATAAATTTCTTCGCCAATAATTACGCTTTCCATTGATTCGACCGTAGTTTTTTGTGCTATAAGTTCTTTATTGAAAAAAGTATACACTTGTTATGAACATACTGAATGCTATTTTAAGGGCGAGGAACCATCCTCACACTGGGGTGGGGGATAGTTTACAACAATTCAGAAAATCTCAACATTGGAGAAAAATTACTCAAGAGAATATTTTTTCAAACTGGCAAAATTTTCTTCGATGTATTTAACACTCCACCCTCAATGCTGCATCATTGTTGGTGCCAAACTATTGAAGATATATTGCACAACTTA